CTTCTTCCTCCTCCTCCATCCTCATCCTCCATCCTCATCCTCATCTCCACCCTCCTGCTCCCGCCCTGCTGGCTCCCCACAGGAGCTGGTGGTGGGGCTGTGCCGGCGGCTCTCGGAGGATCCTGCTCTCCTGCTCGTGTCCCCTCGTCGTGTCACTAATGTCACCGTCACCCCACGGGCTCCCTGGGGCTCTCTGGGGCTCTCTGTGGGCCGTGCTCTGCGGTGTGCCAGCGTGTCCTGTCATTCTCTGTCACCTCAGCACCATGTCACTAACCCACCCTGGAGGTCCCCATGGCGCTCCAGGCTGTCCCCGTGTCACCCTGGGAGGACGGGGGGCACCAGGCTGGAGCTGGGCACCCCAGACCTGGGCACCCCACACAGGGCTGAGCTTTCCAGGGTGACAGCACCAGGGTTTGAACGTCCCCACCACACCTGGGCACTGCCCCCGGTGCCTGTGGCTATGCCAGGGGTGGAGGGAGCCCCGACAGGGTCCCAGCAGGTCCCACAGACCCCACGGGCTGTGCCAGGTCCTGCTGCCAGGTGGGCACAGCCCCGGGAGGGGCTGTAGGAGACCCCCCTGCATCTCCTCTCTTCTCCCCACCAAGGGTCTCCAAGGCGAGCGTGGCCCCGCGGGGCTCGCCGGAGCCAAAGGGGAGCCGGTGAGTGCTGTGGGGCGAGGGGACAGGGGGACATTGGTGGCCCACGGGGGTTGGCACCTGCCTGGGGCACTGCAATGTCACCATCCTCACACACAGGGACCTCCAGGACAACCTGGCTACCCCGGGGCCACGGGGCCCCCCGGCCTTCCCGTGAGTACTGGGGGGACCAGGCAGCCCCTGGGGGCCCTCAGCCCCCTCGAGGGTCCCCATGAGACCCCCCCATGTCACAGCTGGGGGACACTGGCAGGCACAGAGCTCTGTGTCCCTGTCCTGTCCATCCAATCCCATCCCATCCCACACATTCCCGATTCCCTGTCCGTCCATGTCACGGCACCATCTGCACCCTGAGCATGGTCTGTGTCCCTATGGCTCCTCTTCTCTGCCCCGAATCCCATCCGTGCCCCGAATCCCATCTGTGCCCCAAATCCCATCCATGTGCCATGGCCCATCCCTGTGCCCTATATCCCACCCAATGCCCCAAATCCCATCCCTGCCCCAAATCCCATATCCCACTTTCTCCCCCTCCTTCCCCAGGGCATCAAAGGCGAGCGAGGCTATGTGGGTCCCCCTGGCGAGAAAGGGGAGCTGGTGAGTCCCTCAGGGCCCTGCTCGGGGGGGGCAGTGGGGTCGGGGGTGCCTCCAGGTGCCCCCTCTGTGTGGGCACCGGGGCTGGGATCCTTCCAGTGGGATCCCCCTGATCCTATTCCCGTCCTTTCAGGGACCCCCTGGCGTGGATGGGCTGCCCGGTCCTGTGGGGCCAGCGGTAGGTGCCCACCCTGGGGGCTGTGGGGTGGGAGGAGGGTGGCTGTGGGGGCTGTGGGGTGTTGTGGGTGCTGTGGGGTGCTGTGGGGTCGCTGTGGGGGGTTGTGGGGTGCTCCCACCACCTCATTCCCGTAACACTGGTGGGTGTTTTTTACACCAATTAATCAGTGGCTTGTCTCAGTCTCTTCCGCCTTCACTCAGAGCCAGGATTAAAAAATACACGAAGGATTTTTTTGTGTTTGGGTTTGTTTTTGTTTCTTAAATCTTATCAAAAAAACAGAAAGTTCAGCAGCACTTCCAGCTACCTGCTACAGGCGAGCAAAATGGAGATGAGCCTACAAGATCTCCTAAAGATAAACAGTCCATAGATAATTAACACCGATATTATTGATACTTTTAAATTAATGACTAAATTCCCATGACCCTCAGTGTGACACTGACTGACCAGAAACTGCCTGAAACCATGAAGGAGAAGGAAGATGAGCACCCAGAGAGACACCACCCAAACCCCTCTGTCTTGTCTCATTACTCTGTTATAAAAACCTCAAATTAATTTAAAATTTAAAACCCTTCACCACGTGAAATCACACACTTTTATTTAACTCCACACCCGTGATTTCAACTCCATCACTCAAATTTAGGAGCTCTCTCCAAGGCCTCAGGTCCAAAGCAGCGTTCTCCAGAAAGCTCCAAAATCCCAAATTTCTGGGATCCAACAATCCTGTCTCTCCTCAGGGTCCCAGGGGTGAGCGTGGCCTCCCAGGAAGTGCTGGAGAAAAAGGGGACCAGGTGAGTGTCCCCAAAGGGGGGACAGGACCCCCGGGACCCCCATGGGGCAGGGGTTGTGGGGTCTGGCTCAGCTCTTGTGTCTCTGCAGGGTTTCCAGGGCCAGCCTGGCTTCCCGGGACCACCGGTGAGTCAATCCCGCTGGGAATTCGGAGTCCATCCATCCCGCTGGGAATTCCAGCACTGTGGGGTGCCCACTGTGTGTCCCTGTGTCCCCACAGTGCCAGGGATGGGGACAGAGGGTCCTACAAGGGGGATGAGGTGCAGGGAGCAGATCAATCCCATTAAAATAAGCCGGGAAAGAGCGGGATTAGGGATTGGGCTCTTCCACTGGGATCCCCCCTTCACCGCACACCCCTCTTCTCTTTAGGGTCCCCCTGGTTTCCCAGGAAAGGTTGGTCCAGCCGGGCCACCAGGGCCTGTGGCCGAGAAGGTGAGTGCCAGGGACAAGTGCCACCAGGCAATGGCTCCGTGGTGTCACCGCGTGTCCCTCGGGCTCTGGGGTTTGGTGCCTGTGACCTCCTGTGGCTCTTGTAGGGCAGCGAGGGCATGCGAGGCCCCACGGGGATGCCAGGACCCCCCGGGCCCCCTGGACCCCCGGGAATCCAGGTAAGATCCCTCTAAGTGTCACCCTTGGGTGCTCCTGGGAGCAGCGATGGCTGTTCCCATTCCCTGGGATTCTGTTCCCATTCCCAAAAATCTGTTCCCATCCCCAGTGACCTTTTCCCATCCCCAGGGATCTCTTCCCATTCCCAGGGCTCTGTTCCCATTCCCAGTGCCCTGTTCCCATTCCCAGTGCCCTGTTCCCATTCCCAGGGCTCTGTTCCCATTCCCAGGGTTCTGTCCTCACAGCCTGGGGTACCCTGAGCAAGTCCCTCAGGGACCCCCAGAGCTCCCCCATGCAAACCTCCCTCTGACATTGTCACCTTGTCCCCACAGGGCCCTGCTGGCTTGGAAGGACTGGATGGCAAGGACGGGAAGCCAGGGCTGAGGGTGAGGCTCTGGGTTTTTTTGGGGGGTGGGCAGCCACCCCAGGACCCCCCCAGGACACCCCTAACCTGTGTCTCTTTCTCCCCAGGGTGACCCAGGTCCCCCCGGGCCACCAGGGATGATGGGTCCTCCGGTGAGTGAGTGACAGCCCTCCTTGTCACCCCTCCTTAGTGCTCCGTGCCTGGCACGTCCCTGCAGCCAACACTGGGGTCCCCTGAGCTGGCACTGTGCCACCAGCTGTTCCTGGGGACACTGAGCTGTGGCTGGTGGCCCTGGACCCGCACTGCATGGTCAGGGTCACCTGCTGTCACCCGCTGTGACCCACCCGAGCTCTTTTCTCTCTCCAGGGCTTCAAGGGCAAGACAGGACACCCAGGGCTCCCAGGACCGAAGGTGGGTGATGGTGACACTGGGTGGTGACATCCCCAAGGACCTGGGGCCTGGCCAGAACACCCCCCCACTCATTGCTGTGCCCGTGATGTCCCTTTTTTTCTTTTAGGGTGACTGTGGCAAACCCGGCCCCCCGGGGAGCACGGGCCGGCCGGGAGCCGAGGTGAGCGAGGGGTGGGTGACCCCTGTGCAGCCCCTTGTCACCCCCCTGCCTTCCTTGTCACCCCACCCCATTCCTCCTCCTCCTCACCTTGCCTTCCTCAGGGTGACCCCGGACCCATGGGACCCCAAGGCCGGCAGGGACCCCCAGGACTCATCGTAAGTTGGAGCTGCCCCCCGTGACGAACCCATCACAGTGGGGACATCCCCTGTGACCCCCCCATTTCTGTCACCAGGGACCCCCCGGCAGCCCAGGACAGCCGGGTCCCGCTGGCCTCGCTGGAGTGGTGAGTACAGCCAGGAATTTGGGATTTGGGGTCGGGATGAGCGGGTTTGGGATCCCCGCTCTGATCCCGGTGCTCCCTCCTGGCCACAGGGGCTGAAGGGCGAGCGCGGCTCCGTGGGCGAGCGGGGTCTGCCCGGAATGCCAGGACAGCCGGGACCCCCGGGACACCCGGGACCACCGGTGAGTGCAGCAGGGGACCTCGGCGAGCAGTGGGGACCTCGGGGGTGGCCCCATGGTGTCACCTCCTCACTCTGCCCCTCTTTGACCTCGCAGGGAGAGCAGGGACCGGACGGACCCGTTGGGAAGGAGGTAGGAGCGGGGATTTCTGGAACTTTCCTGGACGCAGGGCTGGATTGTGGCATCCTCTGCCTGGCCAGGGTGTCCCCAGGGTGGCGACATCCCTGTCACACTGCTCCTGTTTTCCAGGGACCCCCAGGAAAACCGGGCATTGCGGGACCGGCCGGACAGAAGGTGAGTGGATCCTGTGCCACCAGTGCCACCTCGGTGTCGCACAGCTGTCGCGACACCCAGAACTGAGCTTTTCCTGTCCGCAGGGTGACGCTGGATCCCCTGGAGAGAGGGGGTACCCCGGGGAGAAGGGCAGAGCCGGAATGCCCGGGGGTCCGGGGAAAAGCGGCTCCATGGGGCTCGTGGGGCCACGGGGACCCGCGGGAGAGCGGGGACCCCCGGGCTCGCCGGGCCCCGCGGGTAGCCCCGGGCTACCGGGACCGCCGGGGATGATGGTAAGGACGGGTGGCTGTGTGTGTGGGGGGGACAGGACCCTGTCCCCTCGCGTGTCCCCTCCCGTGTCCCCTCCCATGTCCCCTCGTGTCCCCTCGTGTCCCCCCGCAGGGAGATGTGGTGAATTACGACGAGGTCAAGAGATTCATCCGGCAGGAGCTGAACAAGATGTTTGACGGTAACGGGGGCGTGGGGACGAGGCCCGGGGACCCTCCCCGTGTCCCCTCTTTGTCCCGCTGAGCTCGGCGCGTGTCCCCGCAGAGCGGATGGCCTATTACACCTCCCGGCTGCACTTCCCCGTGGAGATGGTGGCATCCCCGGGCAGGCCCGGTCCCCCCGGCAAGGACGGGCTGCCCGGCCGGCCGGGACCCCCCGGCTCCCCGGGGATGCCGGGGCAGATCGGCAGAGAGGGGCGGCAGGGCGTGCCGGGCATGCGGGGTACGTGCTGCTGCTCCCTGGGGTGTTCCCGGTGTCCCTGCGGTCATCCCGGTGTCCCCAGGACATTCCCAGTGTCCCGGGATGCTGTGACCGTGCCGGGATCTCACCCCTGTCCATCCACCTCTCCCCCAGGTGAGCCGGGTGCCAAAGGAGAGAAAGGCGAGAAAGGTGTGGGGCTGATGGGGGACAGCGGCCCCCCGGGACCCCCAGGTGAGCCCCCCCTCCCTCTGCCTGGCCCCCAGCCCCGTGCTGGGCTTTGCTGCCACCCCCTCACCCTGTCACCCCACACCTTTTTTCATCTCTTCCAGGTCCCCAAGGGCCACCAGGCTATGGAAAGATGGGTCCCCCTGGCCCCGTGGGGCAGCAGGGCATCCCTGGCATCCCCGGCCCTCCCGGTGCCACGGGGCAACCGGGCAAAACCGGGCACTGCAGCCCCGCCGAGTGCCTGGGGGCCGTGCCCATGGAGCAGCCGCTCTTCCAGCCCAAGAACGTCAAGGGTCCCTTCGGCTGAGGGGTCCCGCGCCCCCCGCGCCCCCCGAATTTGCTGTTAATATTGTTAATATTGTTTCCCCGCTGTGCCGGGGCCGTGCCCGTGGCGGGGGGCTCGGGGGTTTGTACAGCTCCGTGGCAATCGCGGGGGCGGGTGGATCCTGCCCCAAAAATACACCAGTGCTGGTGGCCCGTGGTCTGTGCCTCCTCCCAATCCCTGTCCCCAACCCTGTCACCGAGGAACGCTGCTCGGGCCAGTCCTGGGGCCAGTTCTGAGGCCACTCTGGCTGGGGACACTGTGACCCCCTTGTCCCTGGGGACACCCTGGGACTGATGGAGGAATCCCAGTCCTGATCCCCGGGGATTCTGGCCCTGTCTCAGGGATAATCCCAGCCGTGATTTGGGGATATGCCAGCCTCATTCCTGGGGACATCCCAGCCCTGGTCTGGTGGGATCCCAGTCCTGCCTCTGGAGGAATCCCAAACTAATTCCCGTGGACTTCCCAGCTCTCAGCTTGTGGGGATTCTCGCCCTACTCTCAGGCTGACCCCTCTTGTGCTGAGCCTGATCATTCCTGGAATTCCTGGGAATCCCAGACCACCATCCCAACGCTGCTCCTGTGGGAATCTCCGTCCTGCTGCCAGGGGAGCCCCCAGCCCTCGTTTTGTGGGGTGGCCAGCCCCACTCCGGGGCTGATCCTGGCCCCACTCTGGGGCTGATCCTGGCCCCACTCCGGGGCTGATCCAGAATGAGCTCCCGGGAAATCCCAGCCCCGCTCCCGGGGCGCTCCCGGCGCTCTCCCGCCCCGGTGGGCCCCACCCCTCCCAGGCGCCGTTGCCGCTTTAAGGCTCCCCTCGGGCGCGCGCTTCCCGCGGTTCAGCGCTCGGCCTCCGCCCCGCCCAAGGGGCGTGGTCACCTCCCAGCACAGCCAATAGGAAGTTGCTCTTTCTGTGACGTCATCGCGGCGCCGACGCGCTATGGCGTACCCGGGGCAAATGGGGGATCGGGACCGGGATCGGGACCGGGATCGGGAGTTATACTGGGAATACTGGGAATGAAATCTTGGGAATAGAGCCCTGGATAGAGCGGGAGTTATACTGGGAATTGTGGGGAATACTGGGAATTATATCCTGGGAACAGAGCCCTGGATAGGGCGTGAGTTATACTGGGAAAACTGGGATTGAATTCCGGGGAATACAGCCCTGGATAGAGCGTGAGTTATACTGGGAGTACTGGGAATACTGGGAATTAAATCCGTGGAATAGATCCCTGGATAGAGCGTGAGTTATGCTGGAAATACTGGGAATATTATAATAGAAATTAAATTGAATATATAAATATGTATAGATTCTGAATATGAATACAAATGAAATATTTTAAAAATATAGAATTTTTTTTTTTAATCTAAAGGGGTTTTCTTATAGTTTTCATTTGGTTAGAGGCAGGAGTTTTTTTGGTTTTAGTCGGGTTTTTTTGGGGCGTTCATTCAGGAGGATTCTTTGAAGGATTGGGACTCTCCTGTATTCCATCCCTTGCCTGTCTCCAAAGCGCCGCCTTGTGGGCAGAGCGCGGTACTGCAGCCACCCCGCGAGCCGGCGCCCCAGCAGTGCTGCAAGGAGCGGGCAAGGAGAGTGGGCAAGGAGTGTGCAAGATGTTTGTAAGGGATGTGCAATGAGGGTGAATAAGTGTGCAAGGAGCGGGCAAGAAGTGTGTAAGACGTGTACAATGAGTGCAAGGAGTGTGCAATGAGTGTGATCGATTACTCAGCAATTGATTGCTAACACCTGCTCATCGATTGCTCGGCGATCGATTGCTCATGCCTGCCGAGCGATTGCTCGGCGATCGATCGCCAATGTCTGCCGATCGATGAGCTCGGCGATCGATTGCTCATGCCTGCCGATCGATGAGTTCGGCGATCGATTGCTCATGCCTGCCGATCGATGAGCTCGGCGATCGATTGCTCATGTCTGGCGATCGATGAGCTCGGCGATCGATTGCTCATGCCTGCCGATTGATGAGCTCGGCGATCGATTGCTCATGCCTGCCGATTGATGAGCTCGGCGATCGATTGCTAATGCCTGTCGATCGATCAGCTCGGCGATCGATTGCTCATGCCTGCCGATCGACGAGCTCGGCGATCGATTGCTCATGCCTGCCGATCGATGAGCTCGGCGATCTACTGCTAATGCCTGACGATCGATTGGATCGGCGATCGATTGCTAATGCCTGCCGATCTATTCGATCGGCGATCGATTGCTAATGCACACTATTTGCACACTCGTTGCGCACCCTTTGCACTCATACAGAGGCAGGAGGTTTCTCAGTTCTGGTCGGGGTTTTTGGGGGATTTTCTTAAGGATTGGGACGCTCCCTTATTCCAGCCCTTTCCTGTCTCCCAAGCGCCGCCTTGTGGGCAGAGAGCGGTACTGCGCGCCTGCCTCTCCCAAGATGGCGGCTCGGCTGCCTCTCCCAAGATGGCGGCTCGGGTGTCGCTCCCCGACCTTCTCACTATGGCTGCAGAGTGAGGCTGGCACAGCAAGGAGCCCGCTCGCTCTAGTGGGATGCCCGCGCACGGCACCGACCCCGATCCCACGGGTGCGATTTTCGGCGGCGTTTCCAATGGTGCGGACATCTCCTTCAGCCCGCTTCGGCCCGGGGAAGAGGGGCGGGGCCGCCAGCGATCGTCCCGGCCCAGCCCGGGCAGGCTCGGGGCGGAGCCGGGGCTTGGCGAGGCGGGGCACGGAGGAACCGGGGGCGGTACCGGGGGCGGTGCATTCGGGCCCTGCCGAACCGATCCCCCCCAGCCCAGGAGCCGGGAGCAATCAGGAGGAGGCGTTTGGTGCTCCAAGAGAAGCCAGGATTGCACGAGGCTCCAGCAGTCCCGGTCCATTTGGAACTGGAGCAGGGACAACGCTGGATGGGCGGCCAGGATTTCATTCTCAGTATTCCCAGAATTGGGAAGGAAATCCTGGGAATACAG